CCTGTGCGGTATGAGGGTCATCGCCCTATTGCTGGCCTACCATCGCACGGGACATGGACTTGGTGGGTCAACTTAGGGTGGCGGGTTTGGAGACTCCTCGGTGCCGCCTGGTCAGTAGCGGGAGTCCTGGCTCTGCTCAGTCTTAGAGCTCCCGGTTGAAGCGCAGGTGTCCGTCGGGGCCGAGCAGGATGCCCTCGATGGTCGCCATGGTGCGTTGTTCGGGGGTCAGGAAATTGGAAATTGTCTCAATGATGGTCCTGCAGCCGGAATGGTTGATGAACTGGTTGCAGACCTGATTGCCCTGCAAGATGTTGTCCGGACCGACCGCCTCGGGCAGAATCGAAAGATGGTCCTGAAGGGCCCGGTACAGTCGTTCATAATCCGGGTCGAGCTCGGTCATTTCCATGAGCTGGTACTCCTCCACGATGGATGCGAAATTCGCTGGAGCAGTCATGGCGGTCGAGCAGGCAGGGCAGGTAGGTCGGAAAGAAAAAGAAAATTTGGCTATTTCGCCAAAATGGCGAACGGAGCATGAATCAAGCAGTGTCATCCTGCATGCACTCAAGGTTCGAATCTGAGTGTGATTCAAATGCCTTCCGCTATCGGTTGTTACTTTTAACACAAGTGTTAACCGCAACAAACGTTATGGTTTCAACCATGGTTTCCAAGTGGTGCGAAATGGTTTTTGTCCATCCACAGTATGGTGAGTGAAAATGACTCCAGTGGATCTAATGGGTGGTTTGACTCACTGAGACCTGGAGGATCTAATCATTCAATTTTCCTGGTGTGTTGGTGTGATTCTGACTCACCATCCAAAATCGCTCCAGTGGATCTAATCATTCATTTTCGTTGTGTTCAAAGGGGTTCATTTGGTTACCAAACCAGGCCAATGGATCCACAGGCTAGTCCGAAAGGTGTGTCCAAATCTGAGGGACAATATAACGCCTGGCACCAGTTGGGATTGCTGTTTGTGAACCTTATTTTTCTTCGGCCGAAAGAGAGGTGAGCACCTTTGGGACCGACACAAGAAAGCCAAAGGGTCAAACTGGGGGCAGTACTTGCCCAGGGGTTTTGGTACCCCGTATATTTACGGTTCTGGGTTTCGTTCAAGGGGAATCCTAAACAGGTTCCTTAAGCCCGCAAATCTGGGATATGGGTTTGGTATAGCTTTAAACCAAGGAAGGGGTGCCCTGAAGACAAAACACACGTTCATGTGTACTGTTGTGTTGAGGCTCGGTGCCCTTATTGAGGCTGATTTGAAGGGAAACCAACAAACAAATCCATATATTTTGGTTTGGATAACCAATGTAAGGGGCTAAGAAGGCCCTTGTCAAAAACCAGCCTTGGTTGCGCGCCGTTTTTTTCCCCTCCTTCGATACATACCCATGAGACGGTCCATTTGGTTACCTGACCCCAACAAGTGTAAACTGAAAAACAAGCGGACGTGTCAAGAATGTGTGTCTCTTAGACGGAGAGCGACCGTACGATGTGTCGCTGAGCACCGATGGGGGTCGCGCCAAAATTGCACACAGTACTTGCCATTTTAATTTGCACTCGCAAATGCTCAAGCGTCGAATTGCTCAAACATGTCAAAGTGCTTGGCTTTTGATGGACCAAGAAAACTCGCTGAGAGCACGTGGATGCTGGGTTAGGTGAACCAAGCAGCAACAAGCTCCTTGGTAAATGAAAACCACCAAAGAACAAGTTGAACACCTGGCCATTACACAAAATGTGCCCCTCAACGAACAAAATTCAAACAATGAGAGAGCGGATGTTTCTCAGAGCAGGACCCCTCCGCGTGTTTGTTCATTTTCTTGCCCTTGACCCACGACAAACAAAGAAACCTGTTTAGAGACAGACTCATGTCTACACCTAGTGGTTCGCCAATCCCTTGCTAAAGCTGCATTGTTAGTCGCACAATCTATGCTGAACCCCTCTAAACTCTGAATGAAGGACATTTCCAGGTATGGAGGCACCAAAATGATGTGTCCCCGAAAATCGAGTTGGAGCCCTCACAAACCTTTGGGTCCAACCGGTCTGCGGGAGACACATGGTCATCCGCAGGTTTTGGTCCATGTGCCCATTTACCAGGATTCTATTTGGGGTACATATTTTTGAGCCGCCACATGGCTTCCGCCTCGGTGGTGTGGTAGAAGGGGAACTCGCTCTGCAGGCGCCCGGCAGTCTCGAGCTCCAGCGAGCGGCGCAAGCCCTTGGACTCGCAGAGGCTCAGGCACAGGAGCGCGAGGACCTGATGTGTCACAAATTGGGATTTGGGGGAGGGTGGGGGAGGGAGATTTGGGGGAGGGTTGGGGGGTGGGGGTTGGGAGGGTGGCAGGTGGGTGGGTGTTGGAGGGTTGGGGGGAGGATTTGGGTGTGTGTCCAAATGCTGAACCCTTTTTTGCTTGGCATTTAAACGGAAGGCAACGGCAAACATGTGTTGCTTTGTGTGTGTTTAGTGTTGCTCACTCTTTAAGGGCCCTCTATTCTGAGAAACATCCATTTGGACGCCCAATTTCTTCCGGCTGCCGTAGCACAAACACACACACACACACGCACACAGTTGTTCAATGTTCCCCAAAGGAAACCAGACGGGGGTGGATCACTTCATACTTTCCGGGCGCCGTATATTATGTATGGATATACGTCACATTGCAATTTTCTCAACTCAACACGTTTTTCTTCGTCGCTTCCCTTTAAACCAAGGCGAACAAAGTATATAGCTCTAAAGCACACACGCAGACACACACCCAGACACACACGCGCACACACACACACACCCGTCCACCCACCCACCCACCCACCCACCCACCCACCCACCCACCCACCCACCCACCCACCCACCCACCCACCCACCCACCCACCCACCCACCCACCCACCCACGCACGCACGCACGCACGCACGCACGCACGCACGCACGCACGCACGCACGCACGCACGCACGCACGCACCCGCACCCACATACCCACATACCCACATACCCACATACCCACCCACACACACCCACACACCCACCCGCACGCACGCACACACACACACCCACACCCACACACACACACCCACACACACCCACACACACAGACACACAGAGACACACACACACACACAACACCACACACACACAGACACACGACACACAAACGCACACACACACACACACACGCACACACTCACCGGCAACAATTGAACTTCTCTTTGTGCCCACCCTCCCCCACAGATTGGGTCAGAGTGACTCTTTCCAAGAGGAGAATCCTCTTAACTATACCAGACATGGGCCTGTCTGTGTGTTTTATGTTGCTGTAAACATGAACGCAGTGGAAGCCACCCATTTGGAGGGTCCCCCGATTTCGACAGATTGCCACATCCAGTGTCCGCAATGTCTGCTTCAAGGGGTGAATCAGCAACGTGAACCAACAACCTGCGACGATGTGCCGAAGCGGAGATCTGCTTGGGTCGATGTTCGACAGGGAAACACCTTGGGAGGGGCTAGTTTTGACACTGGGTTACCCTCCCGCCATTTCACGTGGAACCTGACAAGGAAATGGTCCCTTTAAAAGGAAAAGGGTCCAAACCAGGACCCCCCAAATGTGAAAAGGGTGGGAGGCTAGGTCTTACCGTCTTACCAATGCTTGACGCATGCTAAAGCAGCTGATAAGCAGCTTCCATGCCGACCATTTGATTGAAAAAAGGCCAACTGGCATTCTCGCACCAAGGTTCGGCCACCCTATCTTTCTCTATTAAGTGTTGCAAATTTGTCTTCGGCAAATTATTACTGAGTCGGCCTTTGCCTCGACATGTTCTGTCTGTCCCTGGGTACCCCGTTGGGTGAGCAACCTCTATGTCGGTTGCAGACTTTCCGAAAACCCGCCTTGATGCACTGCGTCATTCACGCTATCGAAGTTCCATGGACAACGGCCGTCGCCGGATGCTACTCAAGTTTCACACAGAGCCAAAATGGCTAAGCGATCGCTAGATCCATTCGGCAGGTCAAGTGAGCAAGCCGGCCAAATCATAAGTCCTCCAGAATTCAGCACTGACTCTGCCCCGGGTCGCGAGCAATGTGTGCTCAAGCAAGATCGTCTGACGAACTTAGGGTCCACAAATATTTTGGGCGGATGCTGTCGAGTCGGCTCATCCCCACCCTGCTTGCAAACAAAAGAGCTTACACTTGCTAAGGCAGTGCAAACAAACAAGAAACATGAACAAATTGAGAACTGAACACATGAGTGTCCGAGCATGCTTCAAAAGGGCACAACCAATCACCACCACATGGAACTTCACAGGTGTTGTGGTGAACACTTACATGGATCACGGTCATCCTGACTGGAACTCCCACAACCATCCGATTTTTTGTTTAAAGCTTTTTGGCCTCCGCGAACAGGCAACCAGCTGTTCAAGACCGCAGTGCGCTGTCCCAATGTCTACAAAGAGTTGCTTAGAAATACCACGTAGTTTCACGGGCTGCAGGAGCGCCCTTTGAAGAGACCTTTGAAAAGCTGAGAAAGCCAACCCTGCGGGCAGAATGGGGGAACATTGAGCGCCTTAAGGCAGGTCTTCCCTAGACAAAGCAAGCAATGTGGTTGATGAATGCGGAGAGTGTCCTAACATCGCAAAAGGGCCCCTGCTTTTGGGATGGTGTTCAAAATGACGTTGATGGGACACCATCGCCATGTTGTCAGGACGGAATCTCCTTAGAGAGCCAAACAAAACAGGACCCCAAATATCTCTCAGGGGTCAAACTCGACACGGTCTGACTGTCGGAATCCAACAGAAGTCAGCCTAAGCCTACTTGGATGTGTACCGTCAGGCAACAAGGCGATACACATGCATTTTGTTCTGGGACAAAATAATAGTTCAACCAGTCTTGCACCACTTATGAGCTATTCAAGGTTGCAAGCTGCCTGTTTTGTGGCATTTGATTTTAAAGGGAAAGACGCCCTCTCCAACAAAAAAAACAGCAAGGCAGCACCGGAGTTGGGAAGCTTGGAGCTTACCCCTCCTGCGTATTGATGGTGTAGAGGACACCCTCATAACGGAGCTCCGAGTTCGAGACAAGGCCTTAGATGCCAGTGCCGATGCTGCAAAGACAACATGGGAGACATGGGCTTGTCTTCTTTGAGCCTCGAACCCTTGGCTGTTTTGTGTTGTTTCCAGAAAAAGGAACCACAACACCATTGCGTGGTCAACGAGTTTACGGCCTGCCTGCCACATTCAAGTTCAAAAGGCAGCGGGTTTTGCCAAATCAACCAATCCGCACCACAAAGAAACGGCGGCCCGAGACTTGGAACGAGGCCCCCGGTTGATTTGTCACGATCCCGTCCGGCAGTGCAGGACCTTTACGTCCATTTGCTTAAGTTTGCGGGGAAAACACAAATCCAAAGTGACTGATTCCCTTTAAAACCAATTCAAAAACCCAACTAGTTTAGCACAGGCGAGCTCGTTGTAAGTCAGGTACCGTGACAATTTGTCAAATGTCGTTGCGCCGAACAGCTGATGTCTCCACGATGTTGAAGGGCCAAGGATTTGCCGCAGGGAGCCGCTTTCGCAGCCCTCTTCAACATGGAGGAATGGCCGCTCCTATTCCACAATCCCTCGAGCACAACCGCTACAAAAATAAGGACCAAATCCTGTCGCAATCTGGGAGAACCTGATCTAACTCACCAGCAACTTTATTTATGTGTTGCCCTGTTTCTTCGGAAGCTAAGAAGGACTTTGATATCGTGAAAACCAATCGATTGGTTCCATCACTTGGCTCCACATCCTGGTCGGTCGTTTTCTGATGGTACCCGCTTTTGTTTGGTTTTGAACGGAAGACAGGAAACCACCGCCCAACAAAGGTCCAAATCACAAAGAACCACCAAAAATAAACAGGAGGAAGGATCGCGCTCCCCCCAAAAAAGGGGAAGGGTTCGGGAGAAGCTCGCTGCTCAGAAAGTTGGTTTGAGCGGCTGATCTTGCGGCCGATGTAGGGCACAGCACTGGTCATGACCTGAGCCAGATGGGGGTGCCACGGACTTGGCTCTGCGACTGGGTTCAACCCCGCCCATTTTCCTGGGCTGTCCGTTTTCCGACCGGGAGGTGTGCTGAAAGTTCGACTGGGCTACATGGACACCCCCGCTCCTAAAAGCCTGACAACGTAAGGGGACTGGGAACCGCCAAGTCCAAGTTTGGTTGGGATTCTCAAAGGAAGCGGTTGAACTTGCCCAGGGAATCATTTCAGTTGCCAGTAAGGGTAACTGCAATTCACCCTACCCCGACTTATCGATTTTGCATGAACTTGCTTAGGGGATAGTATACTGGGTAACTGAGATTTAACAAATCTAGGTCTTGCATGGATGGTAACCCCTTGGAAACGTACCGTATGAGTACCTGGACCCATTTGTGGGCTGTGGCTCGTTTCGTGGCTTGGTGGCTGTCCGACAAATCAATGCGAGCGACGACATCGTCCCGAGTCACCCCTTTAAAAAATGGCATACCAAAACAGATCGCAAAACAGGCCAAACCGCACGGTTCCAAGTTGCCCTGCTTGCCAACCAAATGAATATAAACAACAAAGGTCAACCTCAAATCTGACCCACCACCCCCCCTCGCTGGTCTCCTCCGAGCCCCAGATCATTTGGACAAATTACTGATTCACAAACTAGGCATCTGGACTCCCCTTGGGGAGCTTTCATGATGGGCCGCCTCGTTTTACCCCCGCACCCGAGCGCGTGAACTGATTTGTATCCAGATCCATCCCACGCATTCGCCTCGCTTCCAGCCCGAGGGCACCTCGTCCTAACTACTGCTCAAGTTATGAGCTCGCTTCGAGCCAAGGCTTCTTCGCCGCAGAAGCGCGCGCGCTCCTTTCGGCTTTCGGCGTTCGGCGCGGGATGCGCGGGTCACCTCACGACACGAGAGGAGGAAACACCGAGGCACAAGGAACAGGGTTGCAACCAGAATCCACTTCGCACCAGTCGGGATGAATGGATTCCTGAAAAACAAGGGATAAATCGTTAACCAACTGGTGCCAAGTGTGGACTTTGTCCATTTACAGTACTGGACAAGTGGAATTCCCGGGGCACACAAGCCCATTTCCAAAGATACGGCGGTGCGAACATCGCTCCCATACATGTGCCTATCAGGCTTTCGACTCCCCCCACCCGAGCTGCACACTCCACAACGATGGAGCTGCGCCTCATGTAACAAGCATGTGACTCCTCTTTGGCTGAAAGCCCTGCCCGGACTCGGTTGGTTGGGTTTCTGACCTGCCAAAAGTAACAGAGCCGTGTTGTTTATACCTTGACAGCAACTCTGGTAGAAAAAGGGATTGACCCCTCTTTGGGTTAACCATTTTAGTGGCCAGGCTACAAAAAGGAAAAGGACGCCGCTTTCGAGTGGGAAGTCGTCTTTTCCAGCAGGATACCTAAGGGCAATCCCGTACAGAGCTGACAAGGAAGGAGTGATCTCTGTTTGAGGCTTGGTTCACCACTAGGCTCAATTCTGACATATAGGTTTGCGAACCTTCCCCGTCCGTCGTTCATGCAGCAAGATGGTGTGAGAATCACCCCTGATGATACCGCAGTGTGTGACCTGGCCCTATTAGACAACCAGAGTCATCCGCAAAGTGATAGGTTAACAGGAAAAATCAAGCCAGTTGCTGACCTTGGCCACCCCAAAAAAATGATAACCCCAACAGAAAGATGCCTCCAACAGGTCGGCAAAAATGATGCCCCCGGTGACCCCAGTATTTATGGCCATCCACCAAGTCACTTCTCACGGACTGACAAGGCGGAACCGGAAAAGATCCACAAAGGTAGACTACAGACTCCTGAAGGCGCATCTTGGGCGGCCTGGCGGACGCAAAAGAAAACGGACGTGAATCTGAAGATTGATTCGACACCATCTCCAGGGTTCATCTAGGTCTAACGATTGATTCTAAGACACCATCTGGGTTCACCCGTCAGGGGTCCATCATCTCTTGGTGAATCCTAGGATCTCTCAGCGCATCCTAGAGATGGTTTCTGGGCTTGACGTCTGCGATATCTTGCATTCTGCGAGCAACCCAACATGGACTTGTTTGAGGTTCTGGTCTGCCCCGTCGGAGCTCCTATCATGGCTCCTTTTTGGGCTCTGCTTTGAAAAGGTGATGTGGGTGTGAATTTGTCAATGGGGAACCCTTTGGTGGACGTCATTCTGGTGGGGATTCAAGTCCACCAAGCATTTTTTGTGAGGTGGTTCCGTATCAAAAGGCATAGCCATGTATCAACCTGCCAAGTAACCCGACTCCACAGGGATAAAATCCAGTCCAAGTGGGTGAACGGGAAGCAACTGCTTGTGAGAAGTTTCAAGCACCTGCAAGCCCAACATTCTCAGACTGAGCCACTGGCTGTGGAACATTGGCTTGTGATACCAAAGTCACCAAAGTTCTAGGGGTACCCTGGAATGATCATTCCCCTGAAAATACCAACAAAGAATGGTTTGTCATGGTTTCCAAGCGGTGCAGGATTTCGAGGGGTACCTTCCATTTCCATTCTTTCCAGAAATCCGAATCTTTGAGGAAACCATCAACACAAATCAGGGGAAACAGCCTGGCTTTTGAAAAGAACGATGGTTGAAAAGAATGGGGAATCAACCCGTAGAAAAATGGATGAATTCCAACGGCCACTTTATCACCTCAAAGGAAACTCCCTTGGTATCGCAGAAACTCGAAAACAATTCCAATGCTGTAGTTCAAGGGTGTGACATTAGGCTTTGTTTCCCTGGTTTGTGGTGAAGTGAGTGCCCCGTCCCGACCAAATGCCAACGAGCTGAAGGGATAGCAAGGGCCGGGCACAAGGTGGTTCCGGGGTTCCTTTTGAGGCTCGGTCCCCTTTTCAGTTCAAAGGATGCCAATGTGAAAACGCCCGCCATTTTGGGGGTCCACATGGGTCTGTCTTCTTTTAAGGGCACCCCATTGTTTGGTGGTTTCAAAAAAACCCAACAGGACAACAACCATTTTGTTTGGGGGGGGGAACCCCCAACAAACAGACTCTGCACATGCCCAAATCACACATCCAGGTTTGAGTTGAGTCGGCGAGTCCGGGGAGGGAGCCTCAGGCAGGAAATCACCTCTGTGCGCGCACTCGGACAGTCCTGCGAATCCGAACTCCCGAGCCCGGAGTTTCGGCGGAGGCAGGGCTGAGAGATCCGAGGGTAGAGGCGTTTCCCCGAAGGTAAGTGCTGAAGCGGATTTTTTCAGAACAAGAGTCCTAGAATTTCCGCACATCCTAAGTGCTTCCTCTAAATTCCAGAAGTTGCCTCAAAATATACAAATGCAGAAGCCAACCAGAATCTGCTGAATCTGCAACAGAAATCCACAGATTCCCCTTTGCCTGAAATAAGGAACGGGTCCCACCGAACCCCTCCGCTTTTGGGGGCCCCATTTTGCCGAGCGAGAGAGAGATAGAGAGAGGGAGAGTCCTCCCCCAGTTCCTTCTGCACTCGCGCGATCCACAAGGGTGTGGCATTGCCTGAGCCGAATCTGGCCGTCATGCCACATTTGGCCGGTAGCTTCCATGTACAGAAGGGTTTCCAGGTGGCTTCTGTGGGAGAATCCAGCTTCGAAGTCAACTGATCAGTTGGGGGAAGCTGTCAAGAATTGCGGCAAACTCAATGAGTCGAACCACCCCACAGCCACATTCGAATTTAGGCCATTTAGGCCCGATTCGGATTGGGCAAAGTTGGCTTCAACTATGGGACCGGGCTCTGAAGGGAAACCCGTTAGAGAAGCTGTTCTGGCCCAACCCCAGTGGATCTCCTTGACTGTGAGGCTGAAGCAAGTTCCCCAAAGGAACTGGCTTAAAAGCCGAGCCCTGCAAGATACACAAGAGGTTGGCAGAGAAAACCATGGAAGCCTCCCTAGTTTGACAAACACTGCAAAAAGCCCAGCTAGGTTGGTCTGGAGGTACTGAATGGTCTATGAGGCAGCATCGGACGCTTACAGAAATAGAAAGAACGGGGCACGAGTCCAAGCTGCACGCGAGACGGCGTCCTCCACTAAAGAGGTTAGAATAAGGCGACCCTTTTGTCTGTAGTCTATTTTAGTAGGGGAACCCTCCCCAAAAAAGGGTAAAAGGGCACTACTGAGGGACCTAGCAGCTACGCGCTGAGGGGACACTCAACAATCCCCACGCATCACTTGTCCCACATACGAGGCTTCGCTGGATCAACCGCACACGTCAGAAGTCTCAAAGCAAGGACCTGCACACTACAGTACGTTTCGAAGAGGTCCATTGAACCAGTGGAAGACCCGCAGGAACAAAGAAACCAACAACTGTGTGCCTGCTTTTGATTGTACCCTTGTCACCGTAAGGGAAGGGGATACCGCAAGAGGAAAAGCACAAATTTCGAGGGGGTCCGAATTCATATTTTGACACATGCCCGTTCAAACAGTTTTCTGACAGGTCTTAACGGTTCTGCCAGTTTTAAGGCCATTAGGCCATTGGGCCAAGTCTAGGATCTTCGAGGTACCACTGTTGTGTGCGGTCGTGGAACGTGGCCCTTTCTGAGAAACTGAAGTAAGCATTGCTAGCGGACATTGGTTGTTCTTCAAAACAAGAAACAACAAGAGACCCCGGTGGCATCACAGAACGTAGCCCAGAACCCCGAAGGGCCACAAACGTGGATTCCAGGCAAGGAATCCTGTGCCGGATCGATGTTGAAAATCATCTACTTTAAGTGGATGTATTGACCAGGACGCAAGCAATGCCATGCGTAAATTGGCCACAAAACCATGGTCATTTCGGCAGAGTTCAACCCTCGCAAAGGATCTTTCACGCGTGATCTCGTTTTCCCCCAACAGTGAGCGTGCGTCGCATCACATTTAGGGCTTATCTGCTTGGGTTGATTAGACTGGTTAGCTAACCATCGTCATGGGTGAGGACCCAAACTCAAATCTGTTCCAAGCTCGCTACAACTTGCTCCAACGGATGAACAGTGGCTGTTGAACGGTGCCAACTAAACATA